TTTGGTCTTTTTGAGACAGGATCTCACTGTGCAGTTCAGGCTGCCTTGAGCTCACTTTGTAGCCCAGGCTGGTCTCCAACTCACAACGATCCTCCTGCATCAACCTCCTCAGTGCTGGGATTACAGGCGTGTGCCACCATGCCCAGCATAGCTTTTTTTTTTTTGAAGATGCAGTCTAAGCTGCCCAAACCTGGACTGAACTTTTGATTCCCCTGCCTCAGCCTTTCAGAGTGCTAGAGTCACAGGTAGGTACCACCTGCCCAACTTGAGCTTTTTTGCCTGGTACTAAGCATTGAACTCAGGGCCTCACATGTGCCAAGCACACGCTTACTTACTGAGCTGCATGCCAGTCCGTCTGTCCGTCCTTCCTTTCTCCCTTCCATATATATTCATTCATTCATTCATTCATGTTATTGTTGTCATAATGTCTGTCCTTTTCTTTTGATGAGAGACGTTTTAAATTTTTTTTTATATGTAAGAAGGATATACAAAGTATGTAGTATTGAATATATATAGACTGGAGTTATTTAATTCTGTGCTTTGGGAAATCAGGTCCTGTATACTCATCAAAAGACGAAGAAGGCCAAAGTGTGGCAAGATGGAACCCTGAAGCTTGGCTCCTCAGGAAACAAGGTATGGGCAGAGCAGGGCTGCTGACCTGAGGGTCAGGCATTGCCTGTGGTCCTAGTCGTGCAGCTGAGCCCATAGCTCTGTGCGTGCCAGACAGGTGCTCTACCCCTGAGCTGCAGCCCCAGTCCTTCCTCATGGCTGCTCCTGGTTTCAAACACCGCACACTCAATATTAGTACAGTGATCCTTAGTGGCTCTTGCCTGCTGTGTGCTCTCTTAATGAACGAAGGTTTTTGGGTTTTTTTCTTATGTTGGTGGCACTGGGGATCGAATGGGTTGCATGTGAGCAGGAAGTATTCTGTCCCTGAGCCAGATTCCAGCCCAGCCTGAGTTCCCTAACTCTTTCTGTGCAGGGCCTCCCTCTTGCACACACTGAGCAGGGAGAGGCATATTTAGCATTTGAAATGGAGGTGCTTCGAATCCAACAAACAAGGTGGCAAACTCTTTCATTATGTGATTTACTTACAAAACAGTTTTTTTCTTTGTTGTTGGAGATGTTTATGGAAAGAATTGGCTAAGGGTGCCTGTAATCCCAGCACTCAGGAGGCTGGGGCAGGAGGATCACTGCGAGTTTGAGGCCAGCCTGGGCTACAAAGTGAGTTCAAGGCCAGCCTGAACTGCATAGTGAAACCCTGCCTCGAAAAAAAAAAAAAAAGACAAAGGAAAGGAGAATTATATTCTTTTCCTTTTTCTAAAACATTTTTTCTGTTTTAACACAGGCAGTTTTACATGATGATAAAGGAGCTTGCTTGGAAAGTCTGTTTCTGAAATGCCTTGAGGTATGTCAATGTGTTCATCTTGTTTTTACATTATTATTTAAAAGTCTCTAAATATTTCCTTGTTAATGTTGTTAGTGTTGTCATGGTACTGATACTAATAATTATGACTTTTTTCTTGAGGTGCTGGCATTAAAACTGAATGCAGAGGGCCGGGGATATAGCTCCGTGGCATAAGTGCTTGTCTGGCAAGACTGAGGTCATGAGTTTGACTCCCGGTACCAAAAACAAACAAACAAGCAAATAAACTGAACACAGGGCCTCCACACTGAGCTACATCCCCACACCCTTTTTATTTTTGAGACAGGGTCTTGCTATGTAGCCCAGGCTGGCCTTGAACTCACGGCAGTCGTCTTGCCTCAACCTCCTGAGTGCTGGGATCACAGGCATGATCCACCACTCCCAGCAGCAGGGTCCTCTTGCGTCAGACTCCCAGAGTGCTGGGGTTGTTGGCATGCACTACCATACTCACCGCAACTGGTATTCGTTGGGCATTTATTGTAACAGGATTACAGCACACGAAGGTTTGGTAAATTGCCTCCATTCATATGGTTGTATTGGTAGTGCTGGGTTTCAAACCCAAGAAGTAACTCTTATTTGTGGTACTGGGAATTAAACCTAGATCCTTTGCACTGAGCTACATCTACACCCCTTTTTTATTTTTTATTTTGAGTTGCTAAGTTGCCCAGGCTGGGTTCCAATTTGCCTCAGCCTCCCAGTGTGCTGAGATTACAGGCCAGTTTGATTCTATGGCATTAGCTTTTTTGTTGTTACCCTTTTTCTTTTCAAGGAGAGAGAATATTCTACTCTTTTGGTCCACAGTGGCCTGAACTCCAGGCCTCAACTGGTCCTCTTGTCCCAACCTCCCAAGTAGTCTTGAGACTCCAGGCGCAGACCAGTGTGCCTGGTTATGTGACTTTTTGATAGGCAGAGATCCACATTGGGAAATACTTTGTAGAATTGTTCCTGTTCAAATCTTTTCTCAGGTGTTTACTATTTTCTCCCTAAGGGAAGGGAAGGAGAGAAATAAGACCTGTAAATCGTGTAATGCATAAGGATGTTAGAGTTGGTTATTCTGGGTTCATTCCCAAACACCTCCTAGCCAACTTATTTTCTCCATGTCTACCTTCTCGGCTGTAAAATACAGATCTAGACAGACTTGATGGGGTTGGTCTCAAAATTCCAAATAACAATGTATAAAGTATCTGACAGGTTAGTACAGTGATTCTAAATACATTAAAGTACACATTCTCAGCTTCCTTATGTTATATTTGGCCATGGTATTTGGTTCACTTGAAATTTCATACAACTTGGGTACTGGTTATACTTCTGTATTTATGAAGATCTAAGTCAGGCTGTATTCTAGTAGATGCTTAACTGGTAGTAGCTATTATTATTGTATCTTAAATAATTTCATTAGTAAAATATTAAGCTTATAGAGATTTTCTGTATTTCCAAACTAGGTTGATAATCTTATTTTTATGCCTCAGTCAACAGTGGTGGTGTTGAGTGCTATATTTGTTCATTAAAGTGATTAAAGATGTTTTCTTTGAATGTGATTATTTAACCTACTGTGTTTTCCAATACCTTAAATGTATGAAGATTGTGAATATCTACTTCATATTCATTTATAAAGAGGTAATTGATAACTAACAGCTCTAACTTGAAAACTTTTGAGTGGCTTTTGAGTGAATTCTCTGTGGGGAGGCGTGGTTTGCTGCTTGTCCTGTGTCCGTAGCATGGAGCAAGGGGTCTCCTGTGGGCTCCACTTGTGTGGGCAAGGAAGCCACCTTTTAAAATTCTGTGATCCTTCTCTGTGCTTGCTGATAGTTAACTAGTGCGCCTAATAAATTACCGAAAAATTAATTACTGACTCATTCATTTAACAATTGTATTAACATCTGCTGTGTCTTCCTCAGTATTAGTAGGCTCAGTGGACATACAAAAATAAAGAAGTGGGGCTGGGATTTAGCTCAGCGGCACAGCGCCTGCCTGGCAAGTGTGAGGTCGTGAGTTTGATTCCTGGTACTGGAAAAAAACCAAAAATAAACAAGCTGGTTGTATATGACATTAGTGTGTATGTATGTATGTATGTGTTTTGCTGTGCTGGGGGTCAAACCCAGGGTTTTGCACGTTAGGCGATTACTCAACCACTGAGCTATGCCCCAGCCCATTACCATTTATTTTTAAAATTCAGGTGAAACCTGGAGATGACTTAGAAAGTGATCGCTACTTAATCACTGTTGAGGAGGTGAAGGTTGCTGGAAGACCAGCTGCTAAACAAGAAGTGGATAGAGAAGCACCAGGATGGAGTTCCAGGAGCTTTGCTGGCTGGTCTAGGGGGTGTCAGCCCCCTGGCTTAAAACGGAAATTTACTGTAAGTTTCTCTGTAGACAGTAGTACATCAATATATGTTCATAAAAGTGCTTCAGAAATAATGAAGTTTGCCGTTACTATATCTTGCCATTCAAATGGCTCTTTACCTATGCAGAAATGAAATAAGTCCCAGCTAGGAAAATCTTAGTAGTAAATGAATGTAGCTTTTTTTTTTTTTTTTTTTTGAGATAGGGTCTTGGTCTGTAGTTCAGGCTGGCCTTGAACTCACTGTGTAGCCCAGGCTGGTTTTGAACTCGCAGCAATCCTCCTCTGTCAGCCTCCTGAGTGCTGGGATTACAGGCATGCGCCACTATATCCAACAGAATGTTTATAGTTTAACTTAGCAAATATCTTACTACTTTACCTTAGGCAAAGTTCAGGTATGCCTTCTTATTTTTCAGCCAGTTTATTCCACCTTTTCTTTGTAGATTGTGGTATAGCTAATAACTGTTTTTAATATTTTTAGGGTTTTCAAGGACCGCGTCAAGTCCCAAAGAAAATTGTTGTTATGGAAAATGGGGACTCATCTGCATCCTTTGAGGCTGGCACTACTTTTTCTCTCCCATGCTACAGCACCCTGCCTTTGTTTCCTACTGTTGGCAGGAAGGAGATAAGTAACACGCAGACAGCCCCTGACAGCACTGTCAGTGCCCAGATGGGAGCGGGCCGGGGCCCGGGTTGTCCCACTCGCTCTGAGCCAAGCCCCGGAGTGCCGGGGGAAGAGGATGCTTCCTGCGCTCTTCTGGGCCCTGGACGCTGGCATGCAGCCCCTGTGCTGGCCACAGAGCCCACGAGAGGACATGGCTTGGCCTCTCACTGCCCGAGAGCCTCGAAGCAGCATATCAGAAGCCAATCACAGATCTTAGCTCTTCTGAAGTCCACACCGGCGACCACGTGTGAGCATTGGGATGCTGAGCTGGCAGGACACTCTGGGCAGCTGCAGACCCTGGCTGCACATGGAGCTGGCCTGGCAGAGCACGCTGAGATGATAGACTTAGAGCAGCCCCATGGCCCGAGGCAGCCGGAAAATGCCGTTGGAGGCAGAAGCCACTGGGCCGTGTATTTATCCCCGCAGGGCTCCCCAGCAGATTCTAGCAAGGGAACGGAGGACATGGAAAGGCAAGCAGCAGTGCAGGGAAGTGACATATACTTGAATCTGGAAGACCCTGTGGAACGAGGAAGAATGCAGGCCTTTGGAATATGTGCTGAAAAGGCCCAAAAGCATCACGCAGACGAGCCAGGGGACAGTAATGAGTGTTGGCAGCAGGAAGGAAAATTAGAAACGCCTTCCTTTTGTGGAAGCAGCAGCTTGCTGGTGAGCTGTGCCGGTGCAGGACAGGGTGGGCTGCTCTCAAAAGCTGCTGTTGGTGGAAATAACAAAGTACCCTTTAGCGGACAGGACCAGGGGTGCACAGGAGAAGCTGCGCAGGCGGTTGATGCCTGTGGACCCCCAGGACAGGACTGTCCACGCTCAGTGTGGTCTCCGCCAGCCTCGGGACAGTGGCAGGCCAAGTCTTCTCTGAGTCAGGATTTGAGGACCCCTGATGACATCGAGGACAAAGTTTCGGGAAGTGATGCTGCCAGTGAGAGTCTAGAGATCATTGTGGACTCTGGAGGGAACGGCACAGAGCCGTTTTCGGAGGTAACTTTTAACCTGAGCAATTTTGAGACCAGTGACACAGAGGAGGAATCGCAGGAAAGCAGCAGCCTCTCCCCAAATGCAGGGGGCTGGGGAAGGGGGACTCCGGGTAATGGCAGTTTCTGTGTTCAGAAGCCACACGAGATTCCAAGCTGTCGAGAAATTAGCAGTGAACATTTGCCATGCTTAATGTCTGTTGGTGACAAGTGGACAGAGAAATGCCCTGTTAAGGAGACACTGTCACAGTTTTGTGATAAAACTTGTGTGGGTTTTGACCCGGGACCTTGTGAAGGTGGAAACCCTGGAGAGGAGGAAGAGAGTGACCCTGTCAGCAGTTCTGACCTGCCCTCTGCAGAGGGGAGCACTGACGGATGTGTAGACAGCACAGAAGATGCTAATGGGTTTCTCCAAAACATCGCAAGTCATTCCGATCTTGCCTCACTCTCTAGTAAATCTAAAGGAACAAGTGCAGATTTACCCACTCCTGACTTTTTAAACATAGTCACTGGTCAGACTCCTAAAAACAGTGATTTACTTTCCCGTATACAACCTCAGCCTTTTATTTCAGGAAGTGAGTTAGATAAAGATACTAAGCAGGTTTCCCCACCAGCCTCTGGCCGTGACAGCAGTATCCAGCTACTTAATAGCCTTCAGGATCACTCAGAACGTACTGTGCTTGGTAAGTCTGGTTCCCAAGCTTGCAACTCCTTGCTTAACCTTCAGGAAACAAAGCAGCCTCTTTACAGAGATACCGAAGTGTATGTTCCTGAATGTGACCATTTGGAGAGGAGTCAGAGTTTATCCTGTGACCGTATTGAAGTAGAAGCCGAAAGCAGCACCCAGTCCTGGAGTAATCCGAGCAACTCTTCAGAACTCTGTGGAGTAGTCAGTAACATTTCCCTCTTGAAGTCACTGTCTGAACACAGCACTGCTTTAGAGAGTGTGGACTTGCTGAAAAGGGGGAATGCGGCCTTGCCACAGCATGGAGCTCCACAGGTAGAAGAGCCAGAGAGCAGGACTGAAGGTTAGAATGACATGGCTTCTGGATTTTCACTTTGAAGTTCAAGGCTGAGAAGAGAATTATATGGTTGCCAATTTAAAAAGGTCCAGTGTTTACTAGCAAGGCATGGTGGTGCATGCACGGAATCCCAGCACTCGGGAGGCTCAGGCAAAAATTGTGTTTCTTGACTCCACGGTATGAAAGGGGGTTGGCTCTGCACAACAACGTATTTTCTTCCTCAGCTCTGTGGTATCCACCAGACACATTCCAAATTGTCACACTAACATCACTGCCAGGGAGAAGACCTTTACAGATTTGTGAGCTCACACATCCCTTGCAAATTGCTGTTCAGTAAATGACATTGAGTATCTTCACATAACTAAGCATCATTTTGTCCTTTTCTTGAATGTCTGTTCTACACATTGGTCCAAGTTTTTTTTTTCCAGTATAGGTCATTGATCCCTGGGCCTTTTCACCAAGCTACATCTCCAGCCCTTTTTTTTTTGGTTGGTGTTTTGAAAAGGTCAGAGCTTTGCTAAATTGCTGAGTTGCTCAGGTGGATTGCTGAGTTGTGATTCTCCTACCTTAGCCTCCCAGAGTGCTGGGATTATGGACATGTGCCACCATGTCCAACCCTGTCAGGCTTTTTAGTGGGTATTAGTCTTTTTATTCTTTTTTTTGTTTGTTTTGTTTTGTTTTGTTTTGTTGTTTTTTTGGTTTTTCTCCGGTACCGAGAACCGAACTCACGACCTTGCGCTTGCCAGGCAGGCGCTTTGCCGCTGAGCTAAATCCCCAGCCCCAGTCTTTTTATTCTTGATTTATTAGAGTTCTTTATAGATCACAGATATTAAGCCCTTATATTTGTTGCATATACTTTCAGTATGTCATTGGTCTTTTGATTATGCTTAGGATATGTTGCCAACAGCGTTACCTTTTAAAGAATGTAATAGTAAATACTTGTAAATGTGAATATTGTACTTATGATGATCTCAAAGAAAAGCTAAAAGCCTTATTTGAATATCTCAGATGATTCCTGAGTATAAATAAATCATTGTACTAAAGTGATTCTTCGAAATGTAAAGTTTGATAATTGTTAATAGTTTAGTTTATAAAGAATTAAAAATAAGTAGAAATCTTTAATGAAAAGTAAATATGGGTAGATCTGTAATACCATTTACGATTCTAAAATTTTAATGTGAAGAGTTAGAAATTACAGAATTTAGTTTTGGGGAAGCTGCTGTGTCAGATTGGAAGGAGAACGCAGTTGATACTCAAATTTTGCCATCATGTGAAGTCACAACGCACCCAAGCTAGCTAATCCTGAACCATTTTTCCTGTGGGAAGTGCAGGGTTAGGTTCCTGCAAACCTTTGCTCAGAACATGTTGTCACCTCACCAATACATATCCTTAATTTATGTGTGTTTCTGTTAAAGACGCCTTCCTTAAACTGGGTGTTGTGGCCCACACTCATAATCCCAGCACTCGGAGGACTGAGGCAGGAGGATCACTGAAATGTTGAGGCCAGCCTGGGCTACATAGCGAGACCCTGCCTCAAAAAACCAAAATATAAATAAATAAAGACACCTTCTTTGATAGTTGATTCATTCATTAGCATTGAACTCATGGTTGACTGCACTTTATCTCAAGCCTGAACTTCAACGTAACACGAATACTTTCCCCAAGACAGACATCGATCTTCTTGCACTTACAATCTAGACAGTACTTTTTTTTTTTTGAGACAGGGTCTTGCTGTGCAGTTAAGGCTGGCCTTGAACTCGCTATGTAGCCCAGGCTGGCCTTGAACTTGCAGCAATCCTCCTGCCTCATCCTCCCAAATGCCAGAATAACAGGTATGCACAACCATGCTTGGCTACATAGCACTAATCTTGAGAACATTTTAAGTAGCACAGTTAATTAGCTTGCAGTACTTATAAATAGCAACATCACAATGAAAAGCCCAAAAACATGATCAGTGGGGCACTAAGTAGACCACAAGAAGATATGGGTCTATAGCAGAAGCTAAAGCAAGTGGGGTTTTACCCCTTTGGGGATGTGCCCTGTGGGTAGCTCAGTTTTCACAAATAATGACTTCAGCAGCTGTACTGTTTCATGGTGTGATCTTGGTGGTACAGGAGAATCGCAGGGTCAAGCCCAGCCTGGGCAATTTAGCGAGACCCTGTCTCAAAGCAAAAGATTAAAAAGGGCTGGAAGATAGCTCAGCATGAAGGCCTTGGGTTCAATCGCTGTACCACATGACGCCACATACCCGTGCAGTCCCCCAGTATTGACTTTAGGATCACAAGTGAACTCTAGGGAGCAGGGAGAACCCCCAAGTAATGAAGATTGACTGTTTCCTGATGTATTTTTCTAAAAAGGATTAAGTTATTTTTCTTGAGACAACTTGAGAAAGTTGAATTTATTGGAATATAGTAAATAATAGAATTTAATACAAAGTTAGAAAAGAATCAATCACCACTTTGGAATGTGGGGAGATATTTTTAAAACTCCAATTTTTAAACATTTTTCTGAGATGATTGAATATTGCTTAGAAATATGAACTTAGAATTTTATTTTGGAGTGAAGACAGTAAAGGGAAAAAACCAACTTGCATCAAGTACTTTTTCAAAACTCTAGAAATAACATCAAATTCCAAGGAAAAAACATCAAGTTCCAATTCCATTTGTTATTTATTCTGAAGTATAACAAGAAAATAATGCCCTCCATAATAGTAGCCTAAAATTGAATTTAATATCAGATAGACATGATTTTTAGAATAATAATCACTTGAAAGTTAGCCTTGTGACTTTAGCAGAAATAGAGTGTTGAATATGTACTCTGAAGAATTTTTTTTCAGTGCTGGGAATTGAACCCAGTGACTGGTGCATGCGAGGCAGACACTGTACTGCTGCTGAGCTACAGATCCCCAACCTGAAAACAATTCTGTTTTTCAGTGGCTGTCCTATGAGATGGTCTGGTCTATAGGTTTGTCAGCTTGCATTCCCTGCTCCATATTTGCTCATTCACCTGGACATTTTTAACCTTATCTCTACCTCCACCTCCATTTCTTTTTCTTGACCCACTCCCCTCTTTTCTCTCTTCCTTCCTGTCTTCCTTTCTTTTAAGGTTTTTTTTTTTGGGGGGGGGGGGGGTCCCGGGAATCGAACTCATGACCTCAGGCTTGCCAGGCAAGCACTTATCCCACTGAGCTACATCCCCGGCCCTGTCTTCCTTTTTTTTTGATGGGATCTCTTTCTGTAATTCAAGCTGGCGCTGACCTCAGTGCGGACCCCAGGCTAGCCTCTAACTCATGGGAATCCTCCTGCCTCAGCCTACTGTGAGCTGGGATTACAGGCATTGACCGCCAGTCCTGGTTTAGGAAAGATGTCTTTGAACAGAAATGCACATGAAATAAGGTCGTGTACTGATGGAGTGGTCAGAGGTTGGCTGTTACTTGCTGTGAGACCTTTCCTACAGCACTCCTTTTGAGGGCACCGCCCCTCTGTGACGCCTTTGACATCACCACCTGACCCTGTCGGGTTTGATTATTTGTCGGTGTCCCTCTGGTTTTAGGATGTTATTTTTCCATGTTCACTGCTCTTTTCCAGTACTGGCTCACTATGCTAGGAAAAGAATCTTGAATGGATAAATTAAAAATTTTCCCCAAGCCATAAGCAGATGGATATATGGAAGTAGCATTAGGTATGTTGTTCTTTTCTGTGGGGGCACACAGCAGCAGTGTGATTGTGGTTTGGATTTTTTAGCATTTTTAGTATAGGTGATTAGCTATTGATTAGTATTTATTTTTTAAATTAATTTGAAGAAAGAAAGAAATACATGAGTCATTACTGTTGTCGACTTAGAAAGTAACCAAAAGGGCTTTCCTTCTAAGTATGTTTGTTTGCTTTGTTTTATTTATTTATTTGTCTTTTTTGAGACAGAGTCTCGTTATGCAGTTTAAGCTGGCCTTGAGCTCACTTTGTAGCCCAGGCTGGTCTTGAACTTGCAACGTTCCTCCTGCCTCTGTCTCTTGAGTGCTGGGATTACAGGTGTACACCACCATGCCGGCTTGTTTGTTTTATATTTTGAGACAGGGTTTCACTATGTAGCCCAGGCTTGCCTCAAACTCATGGTGATCCTCCTGCCTCAGCCTCCTGAGTACTGGGGTTACAGGCATGTTCCATCATGTCCATCTCTAAATATTTTTGAGTCCTTAAATGTCCACCATCCGGATCAAACAATTTTCAAGGCTTAATTTTTCCTTAAACTTTAGGTTACATTTCTTGTGTCTTTCAGTCTTAGAAATAGGTTTAAAACATTTTTACAGCATTATACATATGATGAATAAGATTGTTTCATTTTCTTCACTACAGCTAGGAAACCATTTATTGTGATGCCATTTACTCCTCATCTGAAGCAGGATTCTCAACAGGTATTTATGTATTTTTTTGCAATAGTTTATCTTGATACGAACATTCTGTAATTTGTTTGTTTTTGTTTTTTTGTTTTTTTTTTTGGTTTTTCTCCGGTACCGGGAACCGAACTCACGACCTTGCGCTTGCCAGGCAGGCGCTTTGCCGCTGAGCTAAATCCCCAGCACTGTAATTTGTAACAAAATTGTAACATGGAGCATCCCAAGCTGTCTTGGTGCATGACTTCCTCTTAGTAATTTTTCTGTTGCATTCCTTATTCAAGCAATATACCTAACAGTTCCATTTACTAAGTAGTAAGTGGTATTAAACAATAAATACTTGAGTCCAGGTAACTAGTACATGTTTTCTATTGATTGATTGACAGCCGGGGCCTTGCCCTGTAGTCCAGACTTGCCTTGAATTTACTCTGTGGCCCAGGCCAGCCTTGAATTCACAATCCTGTCTTGGCCTCCCAAGTGATGGGATTACAGCATTTTATTTATAATAAATACCACTACTAGTGCAATGTGTGTTTGTGCTGGGCACTGCACAATGTCTCAAACTCTGGAGTCAGTGAGGTGATTTTATCCTATTTCTTGTGTCATGCTGATTTTCTCAGAATTGCCCTCTGTCACTGCAGTTTCTGAAAGCCCAGCATTCCCAGGGTATGGTGTCATTGAAAGCAACGCGGAAGACTGGGTGTTAGCACTGAGCTGCTTCGAGTTGGCTCCTTTGTGTTCAACAGGTGGCTGGAGAGCTGCGTTGCTTTAGAGCCTTCTGGGGAGCCCTGCTTTAAAACTGGCTGTGTTGATGCACATCAGTAGGGTCATGCCCTTTCCTCTCAGTATCACGCTGCGTTAGCTTATATTCCCAAGAGTTCTCCCTAAACATGCCTTTTAGAGTTTGCTACCCACTCTATCCTATGGCTCGCCTGTGTTTGCAGCCATAGTTCCCTATTAACAGAAAGTTATATATTCATTTGTGAATCATTGTCTTCAGTTTACCTTATATTAATGTTCTGTTTCTAAGACACTAAAAGAAAATGAAGTTGAACCAAGTGAACCTCTTCAGACTCCACAGGTGAGTTACACTGTAAATTGTAAAGTAGCCAGAAACTATTTGTATATGCAGTACAGTATATATTTGAAGTTTGTATTATAGATTGCCAGTTTTCAGATTCATCTGCAGTTGATTACTCTTTATTGATTTAGATGAACCTGGTATCTTTTCTATAAATGTCTTGCATGATCAATATGATTTGATTAAATAACATATTCTTTATTATGAAGTTAATTTTGCAAATTTGCAAGCATTATTAATTAAGCATTATTAATCTACAAATTATCATTGATAATTGCGTGTGCAGCTCTGTGACCTAAAACAGAGCCCACTAAAACAGAAGTGTTCGTGTTTTGGTGGTGTGGCAGTTTTCAACCTTCTGTAACCAGATCAGATGGATACAGTCTTCAACAGCTACCAACTGAATACTGTAGCTTACAAATGATGACATTCTTATATTTTTTTCTTTTCTCTTAAAAAATACAATTTTGACTAAGTCAAGAGGATTGCAAATTTGAATCCAGGCTGGGTGATTTAGTGACATATTGCAATCCTGTCTTTTTTTTTTTGTCTTTTTGAGATAGGGTCTCACTATGTAGTTCAGGCTGGCCTTGAACTCACTTTGTAGCCCAGGCTGGTCTTGAACTCACAATGATCCTCCTCAGCCTCCTGAGTGCAGGGATTACAGGCGTGTGCCACCATGCCTGCAATCCTGTCTTTTTTTTTTTTTTTTTTTTTT